CCTCAAACTCCATCCCAAGAAATGCCACTTGTTCCAGAAAGAAGTAATTTACTTGGGTCATATTGTAAGTGGGCATGGTGTGAGAACTGATCCTGACAAGATGAAAGCAGTGCATGATTGGCCAACATCAGACAATGAGGGAGAGTTAAGAAGTTTCTTGAGACACTGTACCTATTACCGGAAGTTTGTGAAGGACTTTGCAACTATAGCTGCTCCAGTACATGCTTTAAAAAAAAAGGCCAGAAGGTCGAATGGTCAGTTTCTTGCCAGCATGCTTTCAAGGCATTGAAAGGAATAATTGGCCTCAGCTCCACTTTTAAAGCTTCCAAATCCCTCACTGCCGTACATACTGGATTGTGATGCTAGTAATGTCATAATTGGTGGAGTGTTGTCTCAGAAAGTGGGTGAAAACGAACTTGTGGTGGCCTACTTCAATAGGGTCCTGAGTAGACCAGAGAGGAACACCATTGTAAAACAGAGGGAACTCCTTGCTATAGTAAAGAGTCTGACATATTTCCATCCTTACCTCTATTGGGCTAGGTTTACCACCAAGACAGACCATGCTGCATTACGCTGGTTAAGATCATTAAAGAACCCTAAGGGACAACTGGCAGGTTGGATCAGAAAGATAGACCAGCATAATTATGATATTGAATACAGAGAAGGAAATGCCAACGGACTGAGCTGAAGACCCTGCAAAAATGACTGCAGACATTGCTGCAAAAGAGAGGTTGAACTAACCAGGTGTCATCAAGCTGAAGTCGAAGTGACTGAAGGAGTTGATGATGGTGAAGTGGAACCAGGTATAGATATTAAAGCAGAGCAGGAGAAATACCAAGATTTGAAGCCAATAATTGATTTTCTAAAAACAAGTGTTTTGTGCCCTGCTTGGGAGGTGTCAAGCTTAAGACCTGTGACAAAGAACTATTGGGCACAATGGGACCAGTTGAAGCTTGGAGATGGTATTCTTGTCCGGAGATGGGAAAGTGACGACCTGGCAAACAGTTATACCAAGAAAGTTACGGGACGTTTTGCTGCGTCAATCCCATGATAGTTTAACAGCAGGACATCTCAGAGTTAAGAAGACATTGAGTCACCTACGACAGAGATTTTACTAGATAGGTATGAGGCAAGATGTGGAAGAATGGTGCAGGACCTGCAGTACATGTTGTGCTAAAAGGGACCCAAGAACAAGGGACGTGCTCCAATGAAGTTATATCAAGTTGGTGTACCAATGGAAAGAGTAGCTGTTGACATTGCTGGTTCTTTGCCCAGAACTCGTGCTGGAAACAGGTACATATGGGGGGTGTGATGGATTATTTCACCAAGTGGCCTGAGGCATATGCAATACCAAATCAGGAAGCTAGAACTGTAGCTTCGACAATTGGTGATTTCTTCTTCAGGTTTGGATTGGCATATGAACTGCATTCAGATCAAGCCGTAACTTTGAATCAGCTGTGTGTTCCATGAATGCTTCAAGTTGTTTGGCACACGAAAGACCAGGACATTGCCACTTCACCCACAGTCTGATGGGATGGTAGAAAAGTACAACTGGACACTGGGACAGGAATTGGCGAAGTTTTGTATTAGCTTCCAAGATGACTGGGATGTCTTACTCCCTCCACTGTTGGTGGCCTATAGAACAGCAGAGCATGAAGCCACTGGATACACTCCAGCAAAGCTGATGTTTGGTCGCGAACTTCGGTTGCCAGTGGCTCTGATAACAAGATGCCCACCTTATGAAGAGTTGCCTGAAAATGTGTCAG